CCCTGCCCTGGCCCCGCCCCTGGCCCCAAGCGAGCCCCCGCCGGAGCCCGGCCCGCTCACCTCCACACTGACACGTAGATGATGATGAGCATGAGCAGGGTCAGCGATGACACGCCGCAGCCCACGATGAGCGTCACCGAGGGCACGGCCACCTTCTCCATGTTCTGCCGGGTTCGGGGGAGAGAAGACAGTGAGGCCAGGGAGTGGTCCTGAGGGTGGAGGTCACAGCAGAGGCTTCGGTGCCCCCTTTTTCCAACGGACCCCACCCAGCAGCCCTGCATGGCACCCCCAACCCCCAGGGCTTTCGGGTCTGCACTGCCCCGAGGGCTCTGTGTGTTCCTGAGGGTGGGGACACCCGCCATGTCTCTGCCCATCACCTGACCCCCCACCAGTTCCGGCTCAGCGGCGGCCCTCAGGTCCAGAGCGGTGGGACGTAGCTATGGCGCCTGGCCCTGTCCATGGTCCTGGGACGCCGGGAGCAGAGGCCCCGCCCGCACCCCCACACTTCAAGTCCCTGGCCTCCGCGCAGCTCCCACGGGCCTCAGGGCGCCCCAGCCCCGTTCCGGCTCCCGGCCCCGTCCGCCCTCCACCCAGCCCCTGCAGGCCTCCCCCCCCCAGTTCTTCCAGACGTGTCCGCGCCCCTGCTGTCTGGAAGGCCGCTGGCCGTGCCCATGTCCAGGCAACGCCTGGAGGGCCTGTGGCTGCTGGCCGCCTGGCTGGTGCTGCCCGGGCCTGTGGCCTGCCCCTCCCTCGCGGGCACACGCCCAGCCGCTACGCAAGTGGGCTCTGGGGCTTTCTGACCTTGGCCTGCCATGCCCGGAGGCCCGGCGCCCCCGTCTCCAGCAGCCCAGCTGGCCCCTGCGGTCCCCAAGTGACTGCATGGCCAGGCTGGGAGGTCAGCGGCTCAGGGGCGGGCGGGGGCGGCACCGCCTCAGTCAGCGGGGCTGGGCGGCCGCGGCTGGCCAAGTGGGTCAGAGGCGGCCAGTCGGGCAGCTCCCGCCTGCCCCAGCCTCTGCCTCCGTCCGCTGCTGGAGCGCCAGTCTGTGTCCGCCCACCGCTCGCCGCGGGTTCACCAGCGGGCTCCCTCCCGCAGAGGCCGGGCCTGCAGGTCTGGCAGTGAGGGGGCGGGTCCGGGGCGGGAGGGTGGGGCTCGGGAAACCCAGGCCTGCTGGGGCTGACCTCCGGGCAGGAGACTGGCCCCGGCCCACACAGACAAAGGTGGATGCTGGCCGGTCTTCCGCAGGGGCCTGCGCCACCGGCCTTTGCACACGTCCCCGCCCACGCAGCCCACACCCCAGCTCGGCGCCCCCCCAGCGCCCACCGCACTGGGCCCCGCTTCTGGGACGCTCCGGGGCGCCCCGCCGTGGCTTCCCTCGCTGCTAGTTGCGGCGGGGTCGCAGCTCCCCACACAAACGCTCCACCCCTCACCCGGCCACGGTCACCGGAGCCCCGGCCTGGTCACGCTCTGGCCCTGACCCTGGCCAGACCGTGGCTGGTTGTGGACCTGGCACAGAGGCCCCACACCGCGGTGCTGCCCGGAGCATGCCCACGCTCCAGCCGGCTGCTCGCCGGAACCTGCACGGGCCCCAGGCGCAGACTCCACCCCGGAGGCCACCCCACGCCCACAGCCTCGGCTGGCGCGGGCCCGCTCCCCAGCCCCCCTCGCCCTCCCTGCCCTGGCAGCGGGCCCTGCTCACGCTCTGGGGGGCCAGCACTGCTTCCTGAGTGCGGGGTGCCTGCTGGCTGTCTGCGCCCCCCGCCAGTGCCTCCCGCATGGCCCTGGGGCCAGGCTGGGGGTCCACTTCAGAGAGGGGGTGGGGGCGGCTGCGCCCCACAGTGTCGCCCCTCCTGCCCAGCTCTGGGCCGCCGCTAACTGGGCAAAGCTGGCTGGAGGCGCCGTGGGCAGCCCCTGAGGGCGGGCTCGGCCACCCCTCCCCTCCGGCTCTCAGGCGCGGGCTCCCCACCTCACAGGGCTGGGGCTCCCTGGGCCCCAGCAAGCACTCCGCTGCGTCGCCCTCTGCCTCCTCTCACACGGGCCTGCCGTCCCCCTGCCCGCATGACACCTCTGTGTGCCCCGAGGTGGCCGGTCCAGCTGGCGCAGGAGTCCCCTGGGTGCTGGCCCCCACCGGGGTCTCAGGCTGGGGGGCCCGCCTGCCCTCACAGCCCCCTGGGAGAGCTCAGCACCCCCAGAAAGGCTCTTGGGTGCCTCCACTCCAGCCCTCCAGCCCCTGGGACCCCGCCTGGCGCGCTCTGCATGTCGGGGTTCCCTGGGCCCAGAAGCCCTCCCCAGGCAGGAACAGCCACAGGGCCTCGGCCAACCGTGTGCGCCCAGGGTGGCTCGCGGCCACCTTCTCCACCTGGAGGCCACTGGAGGCCAGACTGGGGCTGGGGACGGCAGTGGGCGGGCCGAGGCGGGGCGGGCAGGCGCCAGGGTCCCTGTCCAGCCAGGTGTCCCGGCCGCCGGTGCAGAGTCCTGCCGTCCGGCCTGGTGGCACTGCAGCCGCCCTGGGACCCGGCTCCCGACCCAGCGAGGGCAGGGGGCCTGGCAGGCCACAGGGGCCCTGTCCTGCCAGACCCCGAGGCCCTGGGCAGTGCGGCAGCGGGCCCTGAGGGGCTCTCATCCTGAGCCTGGGGCAGCTGGTGGTCCTGACCCTCGTCCTAGGGGACCGAGGGTGGGGACGTTCCCTAGGGCCGAAGGCGCCTTCCGTGCAAACCGGGGCTCTGGGGGCACAGGCTGTGCGCCCCATCGGACAGGGCCCAGGACGGCCACGTCCCTGTCCGCCGACCCCACAGCTGCCTCCGAGGGCCCTTCCGGCCAGCCCGGGCTGGGCTTTGGGGCGGAGACCCTGGTCCTCCCGCCCTGGGTGCCCAGCGGCCCGGGCCGGCCTTCCCGGGACGACAGCTGCGCCCAGCCCTGGCTCGAGAGCCGCCAGCCTCAGTGGGCAGCCCGGCACCGGCGAGACAGAACTGGCCCCAGATGCTGTTGCCATAGAAACCAGCAGCCCCCACAAGAACCACAGAACAAAAAGGAGGCTCCGGGGGAAGGGCCCTCCTGGGGGGGCCCTGGCAGCCCCAGTCTGGCCACAGCGCGGCCCACCTGGGCACAGCTGCCCCTGCAGGGCCCGCTGGGGCGGGGGCCGAGTCCGAGCGCGCCGGCAGCGTCACTGGGGACCCCAGGCAGAGGGGCGCGGGGCTCTCCGACAGGCCTCGGGTCCCCAGCGCAGGCCGCCGCACTCCGGGCTGGGGCTCGGCGAGACTCACCCATCCTCACTCCTGCGCGCCTCC